ACGAACGTTAAAAGGTTGAAAATGTAAGCTAAAAATGTTGCAACAAAGCATACAATTAATGTTAAACTTTGTCAGGTGAATGGTGGAGAAAGTATAGTGAAAGAGGGGGGAAAGAGGGGGAAAAGAGGGGGAAAAAGAGGGGGCAAGAGGGTTACGAGAAAAGCCACAAACACTGTTGCAATGTCGTGAAAAGTGGTCTAAAAATAGCCGTTTTAACATAACACAGAATAAACGCAGCTCTAAAAGTAGTAAAAAAAAAATGTTGCAAGTTCTTTTCCGTTTGAATTGACTATTTCCAGCGAGGGGTTGTTGCTGTTGCTGCGGCATAAAGGTGCCGGCCCCATTAGTTTGGATACTATTAATAGCACTAGGAATTATAGTAATTTAGTTAATTACTTAAGTGCCGAGTGCAGTTTGTTAGCTGGTTGTTCTTTCGAATTGAATTATTATTTATTTATGGGCTTAGAAAAAGTATTCTGCGTTATGGGGAGTATAACTTGTAGAGGGTGAAGCTCTTTTTTAAGACTTTTGAGTAAGAATACAAGTTTAATGTGTGGAGCTAACAAGTTTAAGTACCACAACTTGCAGTTCTAGAAGTTTTAGTTCTTGGATTTAGTCTATTGGGTTTAAAATTTAATGAAATTTAATTTATGAGAATATTATGACATTATATCTTTACTTATACTCAAAGTCCCTAAATAGCCAGTGAAAAATCACTAAATAGCAAGTAAAACGTCACTTAATAGTCACTTAATATTCATATTAAAGGCACTTAACAGTCGCTAAATAATTACTTAGTAGTCACTAAATAGTCAGTGAAAAGTCACTTAACAGTCACTACATAATCACTACATAGTCACTTAATAGTTACATAGTAGTCACTAAACAGTCACAAAATAGGCAATGAAAAGTCAGTAAAAAGTCACCTAATAGTCACTACATAGTCACTATATAGTCACTAAATAGTCACTAAATGGGCAGTGAAAAGTCACTTAATAGTTACTTAGTAATCCCTAAATAGTCAGTAAAAAGTCACTTAATAGTCACTACATAGTCACTAAAAAGTCGCTAAATAGTCACTTAAAAGGCACTTAATAGTCACTAAACTAATATTTCTTAAGGAATGAAACCTAAATTAAACCCTAGAAAAAAAAAACAAATAGTCTTCACATTAACCTTTTATCCTTCTTCCTTAATAATTTATTGCAATATTAAATAATATTAAATTCTAGAAATAAAATAAATTCACTTTTATATTAATTTTTTCCTTAAAAAGACTTTCCTGTGTTAAATTCCTTCATTTATAATTATTAAATCATCTAAAAATTAACAAAGTTCGCTATTTTGCGTCTACTTAAAACTTAAAATATATATTACATAACTTTTTAAAATTATATAAACCTGTTTTAAATATTCCTAAAAATAAAAAATAATAAAAACCAATCTTTGTAAGTTAAATTTAAGAACTTATGGGTCACAAAAATATCAAAACTTAACTTATAATTGCTTATAATTTACCTTGCCTTCTTCCAATATTGAATTTTAGACATTTTTAATATTAAATTCAAATATAAATGCAAAAAAAATACTTTAAATAGAATTAAGTCTTAAAAAAATTATACAAAAAATATGTTTAAATGCAAGTTAAACTATTTTGAATATTCTCATTGTCAAAAGAGTGATAACAATACAAATTTTTAATCTTCTGAGTCACAAAAATATTAAAAACTTAGCAATTCACCTTAGAAAGTTCTTCAAAAATGGAATTTTAGACTTTTTTAAAATAAATGTTATATGAAAACTGCAAAAAATTACTTTAAATCGAATTAAAACTTAAAAGAAATATATCAAAAAATATGTTTAAAAGTAAGTTAAACTTTTTTTAATATTCTTATCCTCAAAGTAGTCATAACAATAAAAATTTTCAATCTTCAGAGTCACAAAAATGTCAAAAACTTAGCAATTCACCTTAAGAGCCCCTCCCAATATTACATTTTAAACATTTTCATTATTAAAGTAAACTTAAAAATGCAAAAAATAACTTCAAATCTAAGAAAAACTTAAATGAATTACAAAAAAATAAGAAGTTTAAAAGCAGGTAAAGCTCCTTAAAGTCTTCCTAGTCTCTTAGAAGTAATATTGGGATTTCCTTTCAAATTTAAATTTTCCAACTTGCTGGTTAAAAAAACTAAAAAATATTTACCAATTTTCTTCAAAACACCTTCCCCTTTAAAATTCCAACAATTTTCATTATAAAAACCATAAAAAACACACAAAGTTAACCCTTGAAACCCCCAAAAATATTTTTAAAAGCAAGCAAAACTGCTCTCTAACCTGAAACTAGTCTAGAAATACACAATAACTTGCATTTGTCAGTTAAATTTACCAACTTTTGATTTACAAAGAATAACAAATATTTATGAATTTCCATTAAAATGATTCTTCAAATCATTTTCCCTTACCCTTAACCCAATAGAAAATGCACAAAAGTCCAGTATTTTTCGACCAAAAACTGGAAAACTAAACTTGAAAGAGCCAGCGAGCGAGCGAGCGGCAGCCATGGCTGGAAAATGTCAGTTTGTGCAACAATAACATGTCAATTTCTAACAAAGTAGCAGCAAAAGTGGCTACCAGGGGAGAAGCGATAAAATTAAACCATAAATGTCAAGTGCTTTTACAGATTTCCACAAAGGGGAGGGAGTGGGTGTTAAACTCAATATCCTAAAGGATCACTCCACCAGTTTTATGCACCCACCCAAAAGTTGAGATGGCTAATCCCAAGTTTCTCAATTGAATCCCAACAGAGTCCCCAGTACCAGTCTACCCCCCATCTCAGATGTTTGCCGTCAGTTTGGGTGACTTTATTGCCATCGAAACCATGACTGATGAGTCAGTCCCTCAGTCCCTCAGACCCTCCCCCTGCTGTTGGTCCTCCTGCCTGACCTTCTCTCTTTGGGAAAACACTTTTGAATTATGCATTTATCTCGATATGTACTATATAACCCGCGGAAAATGTCTGCACCTTTCCGTATTTTGATTGATGCTCCGCAAAACGAAAACAAAAACAAATCAAAATGAGAAAATGCCAATCGTGGGATGGAAAAGAAAAAAGAACTGAGGGAAAATGAGTTGGTGGGAAAAGGGAAAGAGAAAAACAGAAGAAGAAAAATGCTTCGGGAAAACAAACAAATAAATAAATAAGGAAATGGAATTATTACATGGCAAATCAAAGGGGGTGAAGGGAGTAGTTAAGGGGAGCTGAGTGGGTTGGTGGAAATAATACGAATGTCTATTAAGGCTGGAAAAGTTCTTGGGGGCATGTGAGAATTTTTTGTAAACAATCTTCAAGTTTAACTAATCAATTTCAATTTAAATCACTGCTGTGCTAAAAACACAGATAATAATCAGATAATAATCAGATAATAAAACAGAGAAATGGGTGTGTGGGTTAGTGTGTGGGTGGAAAAAGTGTTATTAGGGTAATTTCAAAAATAAATAAACTAAAAAGAGGTGGAATAAATATTTTATTTGAGAGATTTTCCATGAGATTTCTGGGTTATGAGAAGATGAGTGAAGGTTGAGTGAAGGCTGAGTAAAGGCTGAGCTAAAGCAACATTTTGAAAAGCACCTCTAAGCAGCCACTGCTGTGTAATCTACTATGAAGATGAGGTTTACCATTCTGTAGGGTGGCCCACGAAAGATTTGCGTTTTGAAATTGTTAGAAAAATATCAATATTTCCCAATTTTCCTTCGAGCGTAAACTTAACCATTTCGTTAACCGCAAACCTTCTACTAAATATCTGACACATTGACAATGCCATTCGAAATGTCAAAGTCAAAATTACCGAAAGTTCAAAAAGCAAACACTACATGGGTCATCCTGTATTAATGTCTAACTAAAGCTTAATTTGGTTTATAAATATATACATAATTTTTTAATTTCTTTAAAACAAAAATGCAATGGTTTTTATTATAAATGTGCTAAGAAATAATACTAATTGGAAATATTTTATAAAGTTACTTTAATTATATGACTTTATAGGAATTTCAAAACCTTTGTTAGACCTTAAGTATTAATATTAAAAAATATAAAATATATTTTTTTGATAATTTTTTATTTTCTTTTTTATGCTAGTTTACTAGTTTATTTATTTAATAATTATTGATATTTTTTTTATTATATTTTATTTTGTTATGATTATTTTTTATATTGATTTTTCTATTTATTTTTCTATTTATTTTTCTATTTATTTTTCTATTTATTTTTCTATTTATTTTTCTATTTATTTTCTATTTATTTTTCTATTTATTTTTCTATTTATTTTTATATTTATTTTTATATTTATTTTTATATTTATTTTTATATTTATTTTTATATTTATTTTTATATTTATTTTTATATTTATTTTTATATTTATTTTAAAATTTATTTTTAAAATTTATTTTTAACTTTATTTTTAACTTTATTTTAACATTTTTTGTGATATTTATTAATAGATTATTTTTCTAAGCATTTATTTGTTATTATATTTATTTTTTTTATTAATATTTGAATTTGTATATTTATTTGTTAATTTATTTATTTCGTTATTGACATATTTATTATTATGTATTTTTTTAGAATTATTATTATGTTTAGTTCTACATTTATTTTTATATATATTTTATATTTTTTATTGTGTTTATTTCTATTTTTATTTTTAAATTTTTTTTATATATGTTTTTAAATATTTATTTGCACATTTTCTAAATTTTTAATCTATTATTTCTTCATCTATTTAAGCATGAAAAGACCTCTTAATAATCTTACTTTCTTTATCTCAGATAATGAAGCTTAAGAAATATCTTCCATGATTACCATGTCTTTAGCTGTGTAAGCCAACTACCTATGAAACGCACTGTACCCTTTCGATTTGCATATATATATATAGAGACACACACATATATATATATATATATATATATATCTCGATATCCCTAACAACTTTCGTTTTACTTACAGTATGTGTCCGTTGTTAAGCGATCAATGGTATCCTGTTTCAACTTGGAGCTCTTTTTTCCCATGTTTGTTCTTTTTGTTGTTGTTTTTGTTGTTGTTGCTTTGGCTGTTACTAGTAACGCTTCTTGTTGTTGTTGTTGTTGTTATTGTTGTTATTGCTATTGTTATTGTTGCACTTGACTGCTATTGCTTTTTAGTGGCAAACTTAGTTCTTGCTGTTGTTGTTGTTGTCAAAGTTCGTTTAACTTGGCTTTCCTTTCCTTTCCTTTTTAGTATTTTTTTTTGGTTTTTCAAAACTTTTCCATAAGTATTTTAATATGCTTTATAATTTTTCTCTATATATATAGTATAATATATATATATAGAAAGCAATATAAAATGCAAAAAGAAAGTAGAAAGTTCACAGCACATTCGCTGTTATTAAATCTATATATATATATACTCCTATTCCGATATATATATATATATTTATAGATTTCCCTGCCTTGGCTAGTTTATGAAAAGTTTCTCAGACTTTTTTTTTTCCCAGCTCAACTCAACAAACTTTTCCCCCAGAGAACAGCTTAGTGTGAAGTGATCTTAGCCAAAGGATGCTTCTTCTTCGAGTCCACTTGTATTTGTTTTTAACCAGCTATAAACTCCCACCACCCCCTTTGAAACTCATCATCCATCAAACTTATCGATAATCCTGCCTGTCTTTCCTTTTTTCACCCCCCCTTTTTTGATTAAAAACTATTTTCCAGTTTTTGGCCATGTTCAATTAGTGATTTTCCAGGCAACAAAGTTCAGCTATGGCTACTAGCACGTCGATGATTATAACGATGCCAGTGGATGCTTTCAGTGGGGGCGTGGCAGGGTTAAGCAAAGGGGCTACGAGGGGTTAAAGAAAGGCATAAAAATACACAGAGCGACACTTTTCAGGTCAACTCTCGACTCGAACTTTTCATGACAGTTGGCAACAAAAAAAAAAAAAACACAAAAAAAAAATAAGAGAACCCTTGTACCCAGAGAGAAGGCGTACGGAGGCGTGGCCCGCTGCAGAGGATGCAAACAAAAGCGCATAAAAAACTTAACCCTGTGTGTGTGTGTGTGCCTGTGCCAAAGTGGGTGGGCCCTGTGGGTTGTTGCCTGTTCTGCGTTGCCTTCTGCGGTTGACGCGAATGGCATAAAAATAAGTTGCCTTTGTTTTTTTTTCTCTCTCTCTCTCTCTCTTTCTCTCTCTCTCTCTAGAGAAAATAAGGGGAAAAGGCAAAAGAAAGGGGGAGGGGAGGGGATGGTACTACTGTATGCAATGAAATAAATTCTGTTAATTTCAGATGCAGTCCCGCCGAGATGTGTCGCATGCAAAACGCTCGCATCAAGTGCAGAAATGAAATCAAAAACACTCAATCCTTGGGGAAAAGCCAGTGGATGCTGGAAAATCGTGACAGAAAAACTGAAACTGAACTGCTGTTAAGCTCGCTCTTCGGTTGAAATGGAGATCCGAGATATATTCAAGAAAGAAACCAAAACCCAAGAAATCTGTTAATCCCTTTTCCCGGAGAAACTAAGAAAACTTCATTTGTTGGGTGGAAAGGAAAAGTAATTTGGCTAAATGGAGTTTTGTTTAGGGAAATCTTAAAGGTTTCTAGTCTTGGATTTAGTTTTTAAAGGTTTTAGTAAGAAACTATATTTCTCTGAGTTTCTAATGGTGATAGTGATAATGATCCTCATAGCTGATAGAGATCATTAAACGACTTTTTCAGAGATAAACTTGGAATTTAATCATATACCTTTAAGGGTAGGGTAACCTTTTAGGTTTTGGTTAGGTATTAGAAGTACCAATAAGGTAATTTATGATCTAATATTAAGAAACCTTAGAAGAAAGATTTTCTAGAGAGATAACAACAATTTGAAAAGAAAACACCTTTTACTAACGTTTTCTCTGATATTTCTGCATCATTTCCCATCAAACTATAGTTTTTTGGGATCTAAAAAATTATCTAAAAATCTGAAAACCCTAAAAAAAACTTTGCTAATCTGTTTAAGCCACTAATTTCAAAGTTTATAAGCTCTGTTTTATAACTTATTTAACATATATAGGGTTAATCATATGTTTCTATGCTCCTAGGTTTGGCCTGTTATTTTTGGTCATAAAAAGATTATAAAATCTAGTAGTTAAATCTTCTAAAAATATATTAAAAATCTCTTTAAAAAACATAAAATATGTTTAAAATATATAAAAAAATATATCTTAAAACTATATAAAATATGTTTAATATATTTAAAATATCTTAAAAAATGGAATAATAAAATCAGAACCTATCTAACTAGCCATCAAATATCTTAAAAAATATCAAACATATCCTTAAAATATATTAAATCTCTTTAGAAAACTTAAAATATGTTTAAAATATATAAAAAAAAATATCTTAAAACTATATAAAATATATTTAAAATATATAAAATATGTTTAAAATTATTTTTAACAATTTTATAATAACATTAGAACCTATCTAGCTAAAAATCCATCAAATATCTTAAAAAACAACATAAATATCTTTAAAATATATGAAATCTCTTAAAAACCATACAATATGTTTAAAATATACTAAAAAAATCTTTTAATTATATAAAATAACTTAAACAATTGTATAATAACGTAAGAACCTATCTAACTAGCCACGAAATATCCTTACAAAAAACATAAAAATCTTCAAAATACATAAAAGATCTTTGAAATACATAAAATATCTTTAAAATGTATAAAAATCTTTTGAAATATTTTTACCTAACTTTCTTAAATAACTTAAAAATGATGTAAAATATCCTCAAAATATATAAAATGTTTTTAAAATAAATAAAAAATATATTTTAAAAAAGTAAAATATTTTTTAAACAAATAAAATTTTTCTAAATAAACATAAAAATCTTTAAAATATATAAAAATCCTGAGGAATATTTTAACCTAACTATCTTAAACATCTTAAAAATTATGTAAAATATCCTAAAAATATATAAAATATCTTCAAAATATATAAAATCTCTTTAAAAACAGAGTAAAATATTATAAAAACAAATAAAATTTCTATAAAAAAACATGAAATATCTTTAAAATATATGAAAAATCTTTAAAATACATAAAAATTCCTTCAAAATATATACAAAATCTTCGAAATCCATCTAGCCAGCTATCAAATATCGTTAAAATTTTATAAAATACCTTTAAAATCCCTTAAATATTTCTAAAAACAAAATCAAATAAAAGGTAAACTGATTTAGTTTTTGTCTTTTATCCAACTAATTTCAGATTTAGACGGATTCCTTTATGACTTTCCTTCAAAGAACCCCTTAAAACGTTCCTTGTAAATCCCTCAAAATCCCTATGAAATTCCTGTAACTACTCGCCTAATGGGGTCACCTGTTTTCGCTTTTGATAAACTCTTATTTTTTTTTTTTGTTTTTTGTTAAGAATAACTTTAAGGGCGTTTGCAATTATGTAAAGCCCAGACCGACCCAGAGAGAGATGCCCGGCCCTTGCCGATATCTTCGTTCAAGTTGCTTGAAATTCTTGTTGCTTTTGACTTTGTTTGTTTACAAAACTGTCGCAAACACACACACAAGCCCACACACACTCACACACACACCTGCATAGACACAAAGTGTTACACCCACACAGAGACCCTTTCCCACTTTCTTTCCTCCCACCTCACCACCACACTCTTTCCCTGCTTTCTACTGACGACTAACATGAGCCATTGGCATTTGCTAACTAAACACAGTTTGTCTCTCTGCGAGTCTCTGTCTCTGTGTCTGCATCTGTGTGTATTATCATGTCAGGTGTGCTCCTTCTGCGTGTGTAGATGTGCGTGTGCCTGTGGTGTAACGCCTCTGCTTGTGTGCGTTTGTCGCAGTGTTTCAGTTTCATTCTGTGTTGCCTTTTACAACGAGCGACGAGCTGAAATTTGTTCACACTAAAAATATTTTTACGTTTATTTCGTTCACAGCTGGCTGCTAATGCAGTGCCAACGAGCGGGACAGCGAGATAGGTAAGAAAGGGATGGTGATATCAGAAGGTCCTTGCTATCTCTTCTCTCGCCCCTACCCTACCAAAAAAAAAAAAAAGTCCTGGCTTGTAACTCGACTCGTTTATCTGTCTGAATGTGTCTTTCTTTCCCCTCACCTCCTTTTTCCGCTCTCTCTCTCTATCTATGTGTGAGTTTGTTTGTCTGTGTGTGTGTGCTTATTTTTAATGCTGCACTTGTTGTTGTTGTTGTTGTCTTTCAGCCTCCTCCTTTTTGGCCACACCCCCTCTTAAAACCAACCGCCTCCTCTTTATCCTTCAGTTGCGTGTTCATCTCGCGTTTAGCCCGCGAGCATGCAACACTTTTCTCGCACTCATCCTCTCTACACTCGCCAACAAAACTGAGGGAATAAGGTGTGGGTGCCAAAAGATTGAAGAGGAGAGGTGGTAGTGTAAGAGAAAGAGTGGGGGGGAGGCAAATGGAAATGGAAAGGCGGTGAATGGAACGGAGCTACGCGCAAAGTTATTCGAATGAAATGGATTGTAAACGATACCCGAAAGCTGGATTACACCGAAGAAAATAACTATTAACAGCTTAAGATGTTTTTAAATTTAAGTAATTAATTTAATATTTAACACTTTGGTTTTTTTAAATTATTTAAAATGCTGTCTCCTAAGCTATGCTATTAGCAAGAAAATCCAAACTTTTGGCTTTAAACTATTGAAATTTTCCTATTTTATTGCCTACTTTTCAGAGCAGTTTTAAAATGACTTTCAAACTTTTTCTTGTACTTTGCAGTTGCATTTTAAGCATCTTTGACATAAAAAGTCTTACATTTTCTAAGAAATTTGTTGAAAATAAACTTAAATTGAAACTTTTTATGCATTTTTAAAGCACTTGCATAAGAAATTGGTAATAAATATTCACAATTTATGTGATGGCAATCAAACTAAGTGGAGAAAAAAGTTTCCTTAAACTTTTCTGTATGAAATTTTGTTTTAAAAAGTTGAAAATTTGTAGAAATTTAAAATGAAACACCAAACAAGCTTGTCTATAATCATAATCTGCCAGTTTTTATATATGAAACGTGAAAGAAAATGCTAAAAACTTGAAGAAAAAGCCATAATTTAAGACTTATTAAAAACAGCTTCTTGGTTTTTTAAGAGATTTTTAAAGTTTGTTTGTCCTTAAAAAACTTTCATTTCTGCACATCAAGCTCAGAAAAAGTAAACATTTTTCCAGTGTAAAAATGTAAATGAAGCCAAAACTGCGCCCGCATTAAGTTGGGAAGTGGGGAAAAACCTGAAGATGCGGAACCCGCAAAGGCATCGCGCCGTCACCCCGCATCACCAGCGGAGGTGGTAAATTAATTTTTACATCCACAGCCATCCATCCAAACGGATGAATGACAAAAAGAAAACGACAAAAAATATTAAGCGAAAGTCTCGATGCAAACAATGCAGAACTCGAAACCTCGAAGATGTGGCAGGAAAGGTTGGAACAGAGGCGAAAGCGTAGGCGGTGACGAAGGGGGTGGTGCTGGGCGAATTGCAATCAACTTGGCTGGGGGATTGCCTAAATGTCAGTGCCTACCTTAAGGCGATTGGATTAGGCCAGGCTCAGAGCGGAAAGGACGAGAAACTCATCTTGGCAATGCAAATTCCTCAGAGCATTTAATGTGGAATTCCTTAGAGGAAACTGTGATTGGTGTAGTGTGGGTGATAGGGTGGTTGGATGGTTGGGTGGCAGCTAGTAGGCTCTCAGCAAATAAATGCTGCCATTCTAAAATTGAAACTGAAATCCTGCCACGAACAATGCCAGATTTAATATGAATTTTTATACTAACAAATAATTGAGAAAAACACAAATAAGTTTGGCCAAGAATTTTGGTAATTTGAGTAAAAGAAAGGGAAAGAGAAAGGGAAAGATAAATGGATTTAGAAGCAGACCAACTAAATGGAAAAGTATATAATTTTGAGGTAAAACAAAAATAATTTAAAAAGAAAGACCCCTAAAGTTTTTGCTTTTAAGTTGTAATATTCCTAAATTTGAACTTTATAAATGATTAAATAAATATTTAATAGCAAGAAAATCATAAAAAAAAACAAATTTCTTTCTAAAATAAACAAGAAAAACATTTAAACTCAAGAAAAAATCGTTTAAAAGGAAAAGTTTCTTCCAAAAAAAATAAATCAAAAGTTAAAAGAATATTTAAACTCAAGAAAAAGGTTTAAAAATCAAAGCAAACAAAACAAAAATCCTTTAAAAAGCAAAGTTTCTTCTAAAAAAAACTAAAAGAACTGAAAGTAACTCTAGAAAATCATTGAAAACCCAAAAATCTTTTTAAAATAAAGTTAAGATTAATAGAAATATTTAAATTCAAGAAAATACAGTTTAAAAACGAAATTCTGTTTTTAAAAAAAATTAACAAGTTAAAATAATGTAATGTTAAATAATATTTAAACTCAAGAAGATCGACCAAAATCTAAGCTCTTTAAAAACAAAAACAAAAAAGAAAGTTCAAAGAACTGAAAGAAGTTCATTAGAAAAGCTAATATAAAATATTTCTAAAATTCATTTTAAACAAATATTTAAATTTAAGAAACAATCGTTTAAAAATCATAATTATTTCATAAATAAACTAAGTTTTTGGGCAAATATTTGTTAATATTTTGTTATATTTAAAAGAAGTTTTTTAAAACCAAAGCTAACCTACTTTTTTTATACCTTTTGTGCTAAGAAAATCTTTGGAAAGCCAAATAAGTTTCTCATTTTAAACATAAATTATTTAAATAAGAAATAAAATACAAAATCAAAATACAAAGAAAATTAAAATTAAATTATAAAACATTTAAAAAAAATATAAAATGTTAAATTGGGAACTAAAATGATTAGAAAAACCAATAAACATCATTTTTTGATAAACCTTTTTTGGTAAATTCTTGCAGTTTTTTACTATAAACGTTGGATATCTTTTAATTTTAATATATATTTATTAAATATTTCAGGAAAAATCTCTTAAAAATCAAAATTTTATTTTATAATTAATGTTTAACTTGAACATTGTTTAACTATGAAAATAAGTTATCGAATTAATCAGAGAAATATGCACAAAAACTAAACTTTTTAGGGTAAATCATATTAAATAGAAATCTTCAGACTTTAAAACAGCAGCCTAAAAGCAGCCTAAAAGCAGGCCTTTTCTTCCTCAAATTAACCAAGATAAATCCCAATACTAATCCCAATATTAATCCCAATATTAATCCCAATATTAATCCCAATATTAATCCCAATATTAATCTCAATATGAAACGCAAATCCTAGTTAATAACTCCTTCAACTCCCTTCCCTAACCAAAAACCTAAACTAAAAGACCAAAAATAAAGCCACTTAAAGTCCTTCCCATTCCTTAATCAAATATCTGCATTTGCAGATCGTCAAATGGTGGCAGATTGCATCTATTAAGCCTGGACAGATTGCCCAATTTGGTTGCAAATGAGACAGGCAGGCAGAGAAGGCAAGCGACACAGGCAGCAGGCAGGCGAGGCATTCGGAGATCTTATCCATTGCTATTTGCCATTTGCCATTGCAACCATTTTCGTGCCTGAATCCGGGATTTGTGCGCCCGTTTTGGCCATGGCCAATTATCAAATAATTGATGCAAATTAAAATGCATTTTGTAGCCATGTTTTGTTACGTTTTGTTTTTTTCATTTCTTTTGTCACTCCACAAAAACGAAAGCAAAAACAAAAAGTAAAAGCCTGAGGGAGGAGGCGGCAGAAAGGTGTGTTTTTAGGAGAAAACCTCGCAAAAACGAGGAAATGACACGCAAGGTGAGAGTCAGAGTGTGAGAGACTGACTGCATTTGTGATTACGGATGGATTTTGTGTGCGGATGATTGCGGCCATTGATGGATAGAAGGATGGTAGATAAAGATGTGGCTATAAGGATTGAGGTGGCAAAGCCATAGCAGCAGGCATACACCTTCCCTTCTTTACGCCCCCTTAAAAACCGAGAGTCCTTGGAGGTTAAGTCTGAGCGTCGCGACACGAGCTCACAAAAGGGAAGGGAAACTTATTTTTGTTTACATAATCCTTCCACGTTGTCTCGCTGGCTCCCTGCTGCTGCTGCCTGCTGCTGCCGCCCCCTCCTATTCGTCTTTCTCTACTTTCTCTCAACCTCCGCAGGCTCTGTGTTTTAGTTTTTCCTTATTTTTTGTTATTATTATTATTATTATTTAGCGGCAGCTGCTGGACCGCAAAACGTAAATTTGGGTCAAGTTTTGTAAGCATAACGAATGCTAAAACCAAAACCAAAACCAAAACTAAAACTAAAAAAAAACCCCAAACCGAGAACCCATATGCATAAATGCGAAAGTAACCTTCGTCTAGCCATCTCTTTCTGCTACCTTTTCTAGCTATCTGTATGTTTAAGAGTGTGTGTGGGCGAGTGTGTGTGTGTGTGTGTGTTTGGTAGTGCGGATCCCTTTTGTGTAAATTAATCTTTGACTGCTCCGCACAAAAGTATGCTACACAAATATAAATAAACACTTAATCCCTTTTTGTTGGTTTTTGGTTTCTTGTTAGTTTTCCTCTCTGTTTTTCCTCTTTTTTTTGTTTTTATTTTTATTCTTTTCTTTTTTTTTTAAGCACAACTAATGTTTTCATTTAATTTTATATGCACTTCTGCTGCTTACTCTTTGTTTTTGGTTGTATTTTTTGTGTTGTATTTTTTATGTTGTTTTTATTTTGTTTTTTTTTTCCTTTTTTATTTGAAACCGAAAAAAAATTGTCAACTATGGAACTTGTAAAAAAAAAAAAGGAAAACAAACCAACTTTTCTTTTTTTATATGTAATTGCTTTTTGTTATTGTTGTTGTTGGTTGGTTGGTTGTTTTTGTTATCGTTGTTGTTATGGACCGGAGAGCGCGTTTTGACTTTTTTTTTTCTTATATTTTTGTTGTTGGTTTTTCTTTCTATTTTCTTTCTTCTTTTCTTTTTTTTTTAGAAGTAAAAACCAGCCGAGCTGCGTTGCGTTTGTTTGGCGGTCAAATCAGCGACTGAAAAGCGCTCTGCACGGTCGCTCCACGGCAAACGGCAAACGGCAAACGGAATACGGAATACGGACTACGGCGGAATATACGGCTGGCTAAATGTGTGCGCTATCAACAACTGAGAACTTTTTTGGTAACATTCTCAATGGGGCCGTGGTGGATTTTTCGGCTAGCGGTGATATCTCTTAGGGGTGACGAAAGAGTGAGGGGGGTGGGTTGGTTGGGTTGGTTGGGTTCGTCAGTTCGCGCGACTCATAACCGACTTATATAACGCACACAAATGCAAGGCAAAAGTCCCCATACCAAACTCTCACAAATTCACCACACCCAAAAACGATGACGAAGGCGCAGATACCAAAAGCTTTTCACCATACACACACACACAGACACACACACACACGCATAGGACTCTCCCTTGGCTTGTTGGTGTGCGTGTTGAGACGCCTCTGTATGCGTGTTAAAAGCTGCAAGAACTTGCAACAACAACTCCAAGAGTTTTAGCAGCAGCAGCAAAGAACCAGAAAAAATAAAATTAAAAAAAAAAATAGAAAAGAAAATCTAGGAAATGAGGGGGGCCGGAAAAACAAAGAACGGGTAGTGAAATTGAACTCGATGAAAAACCCTTGGACTGAAATCCTAAAAGCAGCAGGAGCCTTTAGACAATTACCAAAAGCTATGGCAATGGTCTTAGATAAGAGGCCAAATCGCCGAAAAGGAGCTGTGTGTGTGTGGGGGGTGGGGAGAAGAGGGTAGGGGAAAAAGTCGAACAAGAACTGGGACAATCAGCCAAGCAGTTAGCGATAAATTTTTCCCCCACTTTTCTTTTTTTAGCACACAGCAAAAATAACAGCAAAACTGCGATATTCATTTTTGAAAATCCTCAACTTTCTAAGGGGGGCAAGTTGGAAAATCTATTTCCAAAGATTTTTGTATTTTAAGATAATTTTTTTTCGATTTTTCAAACTTTTGTATAATTTTTTTAAATTTTTCAAGTTTTTTAATTTTTTTCAAATTTTTTTAAATTTTGTATATTTTTTTAATATTTTTAAGTTTTTCCAATTTTTTAAACTTTTTGAATTTTTGTACTTTTTAAAGTTTTAGAATTTTTCAAGTTTTTAGAATTTTTGGAGTCTGTAAAATTGTTTAAGATTTTTTAGAATTTTTAGGATTTTTCTAAGTTTAAAACTAACTTCTTAGAAATTTTGAGAAATATATTTATATTTAAGGGTCTGGTCTTAATATAAGTATTATATATTGTAGACCTTAAATATTTCATTTTAAAATTAGTATCTAAATAAGGAAAAGTCCATATGATATATATAATATGTACCACCTTAACAAAATACATAGACAAAGTCTTAAAAACAAAAACTTAAGCAAGGTCACTGGCAGTCATCATTTTAAAATATTAGTCACCAGAAAAGTCTATGCTTAAACACAATTTAAAAAGAAAATTAATATAGAAAACTAATATAGAAAATTAATATAGAAAATGAATATAGAAAATGAATATAGAAAAATAATAAAGAAAATGAATATAGGAAACTAACAAAAAAAGTTAATATAGAAAATTAATATAGAAAATTAATATAGGAAACTAATATGAAAAATTAATACAGAAGCAGCTTAACATATATAGAAACTTAAAACATAAAATTAAAAGAAAAATATATATAATATAGGAAATAATATATAGAATTTAAAGGAATATATTAAAATTAATAAAGCAAATTTTTAAAGACAATTAATATAGAAAATTAAAATATAAAATTAATAGAAGAAAATATAAATAAGAAAATATAAGAAAAAATATAACAAAAAGTAATAGAAAAAAATATATGTTTAATATGCATATTATAAAATAAATAAAGAAACTTTTTAAAAATAATTTACATAGGAAATAAATGCATAAAATTCTTATAAATTCTTATAAATTCTTACAAATTCTTATAATTTTTAATAAATGTAGTTCTTAAGTTCCTTAAAAGTTCTGACCAACTTTTACTACTTTTAGTAGCTTTAATGTACTAAAAAAGAAACAAATTATTCTTCTTAATAATTATTTCAGATAAAAATGGAAAATGTATCTCAAATCAAAGCAAACTTTTTTTTAATAAGTTTTCTTATTTCTGTTAGTTTGTTAAGAACTAAAACTTTTCTTATACAAATTCGTTAAAAAAACAAGATATTTTTGTAGTTTTTAGACTTTATATTGGAAACATAACAGACGAAGGCCCTAGAGGCCGGCCATGGCTTCCTCAGTAGATTTAAGTCTTGTAAACCTAAGTCTACTTTTTAATTATAATAATAATAATGGAAATAGAACCATTTTTATATAAGATAAGCAAGCAATATGATCAATCACAAATCACTTTCTTGCCGTGTAAAAACAGACCAGTTGGCTGGGCAAAAACTTTATCACCAAAGCGGCAGATTCGCGGAATCGTAAAGCCGTTGAAAGTGCGTAAGAGCTTCTTTACACAGAGAGAAAGAGGTATTGGGTACAAAAACCAACTATTAATGCTAAAAAGCCATAAACTTAAAGATAAAATGTTACTTTAAGTTTATGGCTTTTCAGCATTAATAGTTGATTTTTATACCCAATACCCTTTTCTTCCCACAGTAAAAATATCAAAAAAATGTGACAAAAAGTTGTTGCTTTTACAGAGAAAATGCCCAGAAAGATGCTAGAGTTTTCCCTTCAGTGCTGGCGCACCTTAAGAGCTCCTCCCTCCCACCTCATTCCCATTGACCTCCTCCTCATCTAAGATCCCTCCTACTCTATGACGTGGCTGGGTAACAATCCAGCAGTCCAACAAACGAACAAACAAACAAACAAACAAATACATGGCATAACACGATAATAATAAAAATACAAACATTTGCCATTGCGTGTCCCCCAATGACGTAACCCCCGCTGAAAACACACAGAAAGACAAAGACAAGTAGAGAGTTTGGGTGGGGGAGGGGGATTTGGAGTGAGAGGTGGGGAGTGGTTGTCAGAAGGGGCTGGGGCAGGGAAAGGGCCAAGTAAAACCACATCCAAGTTGGTTGGGCATCGGCGGCGGTACAGAAAGTAGCGAATTCGGTTGGAAAATTTACATTTTTCTCTACGTGTCTGTGTGTATGGGTGTGCGTTGTGTACAGTGCGTTTCGTTTGTGTATGGTAAGCATCTGTTAGCTAGCCAAGTACAGCTGGGTAAGCCCCCCCTATAACATTATTTTTAATTATATAAGATTATAAGATATTCATTTTTATTAGGGCAAACGTAGGTGTAATATTTCTTGGGACATTTTTGTAATTAAACCAACTTTAACAGCGGAAATAACTCTTAAAAGTCTATGAAATTTACAATATTTTGTTTAATTTTATTTTGTTTTTAAGTTTTTAATTTATAATTTATTTAAATATCTTGATTAACCCACTGTTTTATATATTTTAAGTTTATTTCTTGAAAGTATCAAAGTCTTAATAATGATTTTACTTTAACCTTAAGAATGGTTTATAAACTTTAAGCTTTAGCCATGAATAGATTATAAATATTATTTAATTTTAACTAAGTTGAAATTATTAATTTATTCCTCTTTTAGCATTAATTTTAAATATAGAGCCATCTATTGGCAGAAACTGGGGCTAAGACGCCTACGAGATATCAACATTCACCAAAATTTCTTTATAATTCATAGAATTATGTTTTAATGTGAAAAATTCGTTGTAGATTGGTAACTTATACCAAAAACATATTTGAATTTAACTAGATCAGAAAATATTAATCATTCGGAAAAGCTATAACTTTCTTTTTCTGCAATAATGTTATATAGAGCCATCTATTGGCAGAATCTGGAACGCCTACGAGTATTTCAACATTAACCAAAATTTCTTTATAAATCATAAAATATATGGTTTCAATGTGAAACATTTATATTGTAGATTGTTAACTTATGCCAAAAACGAAATACAAAATCAGAAAATATTAATCAGTAAGAAAAGCTATAACCCTTTTTCCCTGAGTAAATGTTATATAGAGCCATCTATTGGCAGAATCTGAAACTAAGTCACCTTTATTTAGTACTCAATCAAAATTAATAAAACAACTTAAAGTTTTGATTTGGTTATCACCTTACACCTTACACTTCCATAACGCACTGTACTTACACATTGTCAGTGCTGCTGTTGGCCCCATTGTTGCCATGCCCGCCCGTTAATTGCCCAGCGAGTGGCCAATGGCCAAAATGGCATCAGTTTTTATGGGCCCTCCCGAGAGGACCGAGCCCGTGAGGTGTTAATTTCGTTCGAAAGAGATTCTCGCCCCGATCCTTGCTATCAAAGTTCATTAAAGCCCAAAACTCTTCTTGGCTAAAACATAAATACTATATATGTATATATACCCTATACTATATACTCGTACACATAAACATTGTATATTTATCCATTCAAATGGAAATGGCCAATTTATCAAAATCCAAAGCAAATCCAAATAATTTTCAGCTGCAATTAGACGAAACTAAGCTTTTATGAGTCAGAGAAAACGAAAAACGAAAAACGAAAAACGTTTCGAATGTTTGTTTTTACTTCTCTCGGGTGGGTTTGTTTGTTATGAAATTTCCCAATCCAATTTACCCCCCCACTCCTCCCCTCTAACCATCAAGTGGAAATGAAAATTGAAAATGGAAATGGGGAAAATATTTCTGCTCAGTTTATATGTCCAAGTTGAGTGCAGTGAAAGAAAACAAGCGGCAAACAAAACTCTTTGCCATCAATCAAATTTAGCTGTATTTTGTTATTCTTTTTTGTTATTCTTATTTTTTTGCCATTTTTTTGTTATTTATTTAGTTTTTTTTTTTGTTAAGCACAGTTGTTTTCCATTTCCATTTGCCGTTTTTCCAGTCGACACGATTGCGTCAGTGAGTAGGAAAGCCAAACAGTAGTCGTAGGGAACTTAATTTTAAAGTTCTCCTAGAACTTGCTAATCCCCTCTAGCTCACCCTCTTCCTTATTCCCAACAAGATTTCGAGGGATACAAAAAAACCAACTTAAGAAAGAGAAAAAAAAAGAAGAAGAACAAGAAGAAGACATTGCCGAGTTGTCGTAAGCGCTGACTAATCAGCGTCATTATCAAAAAAGCCACAAAAGCAGCAGAAACAGTAACAGCAACAGTGGCACTGCCAAGCAGTGGCTGTGGCAACATGAAGGGTCTTTTCTGTTGGAATGCGGCAACATTTTGTGATTATCATTGCGAGACGAAAGTGCTTTTTAATGTCGCCGAGCATTTTAAATAATTAGCTGTTGTTGTAAGGCATTCCCTCTCCCTCTCCCCCCTCCCTACACCACCCTTCTTAAATACTTCATTTGTAATTAGCTTGCAACGTGCCGG